CCAACTGAGCCAGCTTTGGTTTATATAAATTTATTTGAAGGTCTGTACTGCAATGAAGGATGTACCAATATTGAAGATTACGGGCAAAACCTCTTAACTGATACTTATAATATCACATCCCTAAAGTGGCGCAATGCTGTTTGTTTTGGAAATGCAAGAAATAAACTAAAAAGTCCCTGCGAGTTGATTTGTTCAGATAAATTGCATATTAACCAGCTTGGCCATGCGCATATTTCCTTGATGGTCATTAATCTATTTCGGAAGATCGTACTGGATCATATCTCCAGCGTGATCACCAATTCGCGTGTAACCAACTGGAAGAAACCCACGCGTGTGTCCGGCGTGAATGAATCTATGCGCGTACACCGGGGAATTACATTTTCTACAAGAAATCAATTCTTACGTGGGCTCTTGCGCCACAAAATTGCACTTCCTCGCCCTCTCTTTATTGGTAAAACCACCAAAATCATCTCCGAACCGCTTTGCTGGACAAATTTGACGCCAAATTACCATCGTATAAATGATGTAAAAAATAATTTAAATGTAGTTAGAACAAAAAACAAAGGCTTTTATTTAGAAAATGCGAAAATTGGGGGGAAATGCAATAAGCCACCTTGTCGTGTTGATGCGTATAGGAGCTGGACAGGTAAAACCGTGGGCGCAAATATAACATTCTCTTTCACAGTTCTTGGTGGGAATTCTTCCACGTCGGCGGGGGGAATCCAAACTCGGTCGGTAGCAGTTGCCATACGGACATGCTGGAACTGTGGTGCCGCAGATATGTGGTTGGATAGTTGCTATAAAAGCAAGAAGATTTTCAGCGCGAAACTCCATTATGGACGAACTACCACCAAAATAGTGGCTTTGCATGTGGAACCGGGGAATCATACTTTAAATGTGGAAGTAGTCAGGGAAGGAAAAGTTTCCATTGTTGCTATAATGGTAGGACCCTCTGATGGACCATATTAGTTAGTAAGTAATTATAAGTGAGGAACAAATCAACAGAACCTGCAGAACTAAAGCTTCACCGTATCAATGAAGACAATGATCCAAAGGATACAGGTTCAAATATTTGAAAGGGTAAAGTCAAAACATGAAACGGTGTATTCGCTTGGTTATTCAACAGGTTTATTCTCAACTTTGTGGCTGCTTTAAACTAGCTCGGGAGTAGTATTTTGCCGAATTCCCTCGTTCTGTGTATATAAAGCCTGGTTTCCATATGGTCGTAGCTGTCGCGAGTGTGTCGCGAGCGTGTCGCGAGCGTGTCGCGAGCGTGTCGTGAAGCGTTTGTCGTGAATGATTTTTATGCTTATTTCCAAATGGTTGTAACTGTCGTGACACTGCTGCAAGTTAATTTCGTACCCAAGGATCGTACAAGCGGCTGGCGGCAGTTTTAAAAGGACAAATGCGGTTTCCCCAAAGTGGACCTTTGCCACGATTGTCGCCACGCTGTCGTTTTTCTGTTTCTATTGAAACATAACCGTCACGACACGTTTTTTAGCCTGTCGCAACTGCATGTCGTCGAGATAGAACTCGAGCCTATCTCGACGACACTGTTGTAACTGTCGCGAACTGTTGTATTTAATTATCTTTACACACGGTAACCTATCAATTGATATTGATTTTCATAGGACCGTATTGCCACTTGCCAGCCACGCTTTTTCATGTTTCCATTTAGTCGCGAACACTACTGTGACGACAGTTACAACACGTTCGCGACAGTTACGATCATATGGAAACCAGGCTTAAGTGACGAATATATGGCCATCTCAAACTCATTAATAATAATTCTGGGGTAATCCAGCCATATTACTTTATCAGTTTTGCTCACATGATGCGACTGGATACCTGGTGGAGTAAATTGGTAATTCAGTCCTAAGACTGGATCAAAATTAATTCAGTCCTTGGGCTGGATCAAAATTAATTTACCTCACTTTCAGTGAGTAGTGAGTTATTCGTATGAGATGTAATGTCAAATCCGACAATTCGGACTGAATACAATACGAATGTTCTCATCAAGACGTTTCACAAGCCATTTACAACATTCACGTCCGTGTACAACACGACCGCTTATGTTGTAAATAGCACATAAAATACATATTCTAGATCAAATACCTAATATATCGCGCACGTTTTGCTCCGTGACGTCACGGGAAAAATTAAACGCGCACACAGAGGGCTAGTGATAGTCTGCTGATTTTTGTTGCCTGTAAAAAAGCGTCCAGGTTGTTTCTTCCAGATTTCGATCAGTATAGCGGGTGTAGATGCAGGACAATGTATTTTATTGATTCTATTAATTAGACACGGACTGCGTGGTTTAAATAGTGTAAAACAGGCCTCAGTTATTAATAAATAGATACAGACTCATAGACACATATATGATACTAAAAACCCACAAAACCTGCTCTACAAAATATCTCCTTCTAATAAAGACTTTCGAGAGCATCTTACTCCTTTGAATTCTCACGAAAGTTTCTTTCTTACACCTACAACTCCCAATGAAGTGGCTTCTATGATAAATGAGCTCAATGCCTCAAAGGCTTTGGGTCCTCATGGAATTCCCACTAGTCTACTGAAACTTGCAAAACCAGGTATCACATCAGAACTAAGTGAAATAAATAATTTTTCATTTACTTCTGGTATATTTCCTGAAGAACTGAAGCTCTCGCGAGTAATCCCTCTTTATAAAAATGAATCGATTCACTTGTTATCAAATTACAGACCTATTTCTTTACTCTCACCTTTCTCAAAAATGGTAGAAAAATTAATGTACAAACGCCTATTATCATATTTGAATAAAAAGGACATTATATACAAATACCAATTTGGATTTCGGAAAAATCATTCAACAACGTTGGCATTAATTGAAATTACTGACAATATTCTTAATGCCATGGATAAGGGGCTTTATACTTGTGGAATATTTATTGATTTTTCAAAGGCATTTGACACTATCAACCACACGATTCTCCTTTCCAAGTTGGAGCACTATGGTATTCGTGGCGTTGCGTTACATTGGTTTAGAACCTGTCTAACGGATCGCTCACAATTTGTAGACTTTAATGGGACACTCTCAAACACTATTAAAACAAACTGTGGTGTTCCACAGGGTTCAAATTTAGGTCCACAATTATTTCTTATTTATGTTAATGACATCTCGAATTGTAGCAATGTTTTAAATTTGCGGTTAATCGAAATTTATGATATTTTCATCCGTTAGAAAACAATTTCACTATATTCCAAATATTAAGTTAGATGGCTCTTCACTAGAGCAGTCAGAATTTTTTAAATATCTGGGTGTCCTTCTTGACAGAAACTTGAGTTGGAAATTTCATATAAACGTTATATGTAAGAAAGTTTCCAAGAATATTGGCATGATTTCAAAATTACGTCACTATGTTGATCTTGACACATTAAAAAATGTTTATTACTCCCTAATATATCCTTACCTTTATAATGGAGCAATTATCTGGGGAAATACGTACCAGTCTCGTCTTAATCAGTTAAACATTTTAAACAACAAAGCTGTCAGGATCATGACTTTTTCCGAATCTCGATCGCAAGCTCCACCTCTCTACAAACTACTAGGTATCCTTCAAGTAAAAGACATTGTTTACACCCAAAAATGTACTTTTATGTATGATTACGTTAATAATAGGTTACCAGTAGCATTTCCTAATTATTTTACAAACTCTTCAGAAATGCATCAACATTATACTCGATATTCAACCCACAACTTTCATTTGCCATCTGTTTCTAGTAACTCAGGAAAATTCTCATTAAAATTTTCTGGAATAAAAACCTGGAGTTCTCTTGATACTCGAGACAAATTACTGCCTAGGAAATCTCTAATAAAAAGAATTGCCTTGACACCTATTCCTAAAATGAAATGTTTACTACTGTCTTATATTTATATACTATAATGAAATTAAACCTATTGTGTGTGATACAAATTGTTAATGTACAGTATGTGTGTGTATATATGTATTTATTATATTTCTATATATTTCTAAATTTATTTTTCTTTTGTATTATTATTTGCCATATTTAATTCATTGTTGTATATAGTTCTTATGGGGAATTGGCTCGAAAACTTTAGTTACTCCAATTCCCCAGCACCGTTCTCTTTCATGTAAAACTTTATTGTACTAATCTTGTCATATTTTTTTTCGAGTGCAAATAAATTCTATTCTATTCTATTCTATTCTATTCTATTTATAATCCTGTCAAACGGCGGAAATCATCATTTAAAAGGCAGGTCTTTGCGACACATGCACAAGCATAAGAAATTAATCTTATATATTTACAGACATAACATAAAAGGCCGTGAGGATGCCGCTTTAAACAGTGAATTCCGACAAGATTACAATATATATTGTAAATTTATGTTACCGAGCATGTTACAAGTAGTACAATAACAGTACAGCGAACTAACAGCAAACCATGATAACCATCTCGCGACTCTCGCCATTCGCCAATATTGGCGATAATGAATAATGAAACGTCGTTATCCGATGTCCGTCGTCCGCCGCCCGTCGTCCGCTGTGCACTATCCGTGTCCGCCTTTTGGCTTCTGTCTGCACTACAGTATACTATATGACACAAAATTGATTGACATAAAGGAAAGCTGTTATATATATCGAATTTATAGGATTGAAAATATAATTGTCGATGGGTTTTCGAACGATAATGTATTTACATCAGTGCTTTAAATCAATGCTAGTCATTCAAGTATTTAATTGGAATAGTGTCAGAATCTGACTTATAAAATATTAATGCCTACTAATAACTTAGCTGCTTGCTGAACCTACACTGGAGCACCAGTTATTCACAAGTCAAAATACATTTCTTACATCGCAGTGACAGAATTTCAGTTCTCCTCTTAACTTCAAATTTATCTGGCCCAATGACGGTTTCGTAGCCTTGGTTTTGTAAGTGTGGTACGCTCTACGTGGCGTTTTGCCCTTGGCAAGTGTCGGTGGTCAACTTCCAGTTCAGCAATGAAGACTATTGCACGGATGTTGCTTGCTGTTATTTTGGTTCAGCAGTGTCGTTTCGCTATCTCAAAGGAAAACAATAAACTTCTTTCTTCCCAGCAAAAAGATAAACAGAGATCTAGTTTGCCAATAAATGTGAACAATAACTTCATTTACCAATTTACACAAGAACGAAAGAGAGCCCTCTTAAATGCATATGGTACTCGCGCATTTCCAAAGCAGGATCGGAAAGATTCTACTAATGAATTGCACGTTTCAATGGAAAGGCGAAAACCTGCTATCTCTTCGAAAATTCAACATGAAATCACGCACAGAAAACTAAGGACTACGCACAGAACTTTACAAACAACGCACAGAAGCCCACAAAACACGCAAAGACGTCTTTTTGAGAAAAACGCATTGTTGAACAAGCTCACTAAGCTGAAATCACATAATTATGCTGCTCGAAATTTAATTAATTTATTCAACAGACAAATCCCTGGTAGTGCAGAAACAAATGGAATTAGTCGAGAAACATCAATGGAATTAAATAGAAACAACATAAAAAGTAAACGGAGTGTTAAAATCATGGCCTATGATCGAAAGTTTAAATTCGAGAGTCCGCCGACTTTGAATGAGTCGAAGTTGGAAAACAATTTATCTTCAAAAATATCTTTCAAACCACCCCTGCAAGTTGTCTTCTATTATAACATGTTTAAACCGCGCGAAGTGAAAGAGAACTTCGCTTTATCAAATGGAGCCGAACACCAAATGAAAAACACCTTTCTTCCACCTACAATTTTAACCACCCTTCACAAAGCTTTGCTTGTTCATCCATTTAAAATGTGGAAACTAAAACACAAATTTAGCTCAATGAAAGATATACGTGTTCATGAGAATGAATTACACGAAGTTATTCAGAACCCATGGAATCAGAGACTACAACATAAATTGTATAAGGTTTTACGAGGCGAAGACGTGTATTTGGACGTGTTCGGGGGCTCGAACACCGTCGGCGCTGGACCAAAGAAAGATGAGGGGGACATTGAAGGGAGATTCTCTAAGGTGATCACACACTGGTGGAATAAAACAATTACACCAATCACTGGATCGAACCTTAAACTTCGAGAGATTGCAATGGGGGGCACTTCAAGCGAATTTTTTCAGTTTTGTTTCGGTTCGTATATCCATGAAAAGCTCGACCTTGTCTTTATAGAAATGGCAGTCAATGATATGAGGGAACTTCCCTCCAATGCTAACAAAAGTCTACCACTAGAGCAGCTGACTCGACAACTTTTGGCGTATCCAACAGAGCCAGCTTTGGTTTATATAAATTTATTTAAAGGTCTGTATTGCAATGAAGGATGTACCAATATTGAAGATTACGGGCAAGACCTCTTAACTGATACTTATAATATCACATCCCTAAAGTGGCGCAATGCTGTTTGTTTTGGAAATACAAGTAATAAACTTAAAAGTCCCTGCGAGTTGATTTGTTCAGATAAATGGCATATTAACCAGCTTGGCCATGCGCATATTTCCTTGATGGTCATCAATCTATTTCGAAAGATCGTACTGGATCATATCTCCAGCGTGATTACAAATTCACGTGTAACCAACTGGAAGAAACCCACGCGTGTGTCCGGCGAGAATGAATCCATGCGCGTACACCGGGGAATTACATTTTCTACAAGAAATCAATTCTTACGTGGGCTCTTGCGCCACAAAATTGCACTTCCTCGCCCTGTTTTTATTAATAAAACCACCAAAATCATCTCCGAACCGCTTTGCTGGACAAAGCTGTCGCCAAATTACCATCGTATAAATGATGTAAAAAATAATTTAAATGTAGTTAGAACAAAAAACAAAGGCTTTTATTTAGAACATGCAAAAATTGGGGGGAAATGCAATAAGCCACCTTGTCGTGTTGATGCGTATAGGAGCTGGACAGGTAAAACCGTGGGCGCAAATATAACATTCTCTTTCACAGTTCCTGGTGGGAATTCTTCCATGTCGGCGAGGGGAATCCAAACTCGGTCGGTAGTAGTTGCCATACGGACATGCTGGAACTGTGGTGCCGCAGATATGTGGTTGGATAGTTACTATAAAAGCAAGAAATTATTCAGCGCGAAACTCCATTTTGGACGAACTACCACCAAAATAGTAGCTTTGCATGTGGAACCGGGGAATCATACTTTAAATGTGGAAATAGTCAGGGAAGGAGAAGTCTCCATTGTTGCTATAATGGTAGGACCCTCTGATGGACCATATTAGTTAGTAAGTAATTGTAAGTGAGGCGGAACAAATCAACAGAACCTGGAGAACTAAAGCTTCACCGTATCAATGAAGACAATAATCCAAAGGATACAGTTTCAAATATTTGAAAAATCAAAACATGAAACAGTGTATTCGCTTGGTTATTCAACAGGTTTATTTTCAACTTTATGGCTGCTTTAAACTAGCTCGGAAGTAATATTTCGCCGAATCCCCTCGTTCTGTGTCTATAAAGCCTGGTTTCCATATGGTCGTAACTGCCGCGAATGTGTCGCGAGCGTGTCGTGAAGTGTTTGTCGTGAATGATTTTTATGCTTGTTTCCAAATGGTTGTAACTGCCATGACACTGTTCACTGCTGCAAGTTAATTTCGTACCCAAGGATCGTACAAGCGGCTGGCGGCAGTTTTAAAAAGACAAACGCGGTTCCCCGAAAGGGGACCTTTGCCCTAATTGTCGCCACGCTGTCGTTTTTCTGTTTCCATTAAAACATAACCGTCACAACACGTTTTTTAGCCTGTCGCAACTGCATGTCGTCGAGATAGAACTCGAGCCTATCTCGACGACACTGTTGTAACTGTCGCGAACTATTGTATTTAATTATCTTTACACACGGTAACCTATCAACAATGTCAATGTCTTGTTCATTTGATCACATTAACAGTGACTCCCTCCTCAAGCAGCTGAGGAGGGAGTCACTGTTAATGTGATCAATGAACAAGAGCCTAACCGGAAAGACTCAGGTACACAGATGTTAGAAGGTCAGCGTAAACAGAAAAAAGTGGCTATCTTAGGGGACTCCATGTTGGAATACCTTAATCCGAGAAAACTGCAGCAAGGCCTGGAACAGAAGATTACGATTAACACATTCTCAGGTGCAAAAATTGAAGATATGAACCACTACGTAAAACCTACCCTATGTACAATACCAGACGAGATCATTCTGCACATAGGAACAAACAACCTGAGAAATAATAACCCTGCTGTTGTCATTAACGCTATGGGTAATCTCGCCGACACTATTGCACGCCAGAACAAGGATGTCAAAGTTACATTATCTGAAGTTATATCAAGATCAGACAATCATAGCATGGTTGAAAAGGTAAATATTTACAATGAACAATTAGCTAAACTCTGCAAAGAACGCAAATGGCATCTAATTACTGTCGTTCCAATTGAAGTGTTCCTCAAATATTGATTCAATACATTACCTCAGGCTGACCAATTCATTTCATCAAGTTCCTCGAGATATTCATACACTTCCTGTGAAAGAGCAAATTCCAAGAATTTGATCATTTCTGGTCACTTCCTTTCTATTT